CGCAACCTAAAAAATCTATTGTGTCCTACCAACACGAGCTCCCACCTAGAGAACCCTTTCGAATCTCACATTTTTAATAAATCTGAGCAACTTTCCCTATAGAAGAAAATACAACGACATCTCAACTAGTGAGAGCTCACCCAAGTTATCCCTTCTCTTATGCATCAACGCTCCACATTCATTGAGAACGACGAATCGGAATCTCCTGCCGTTCCACACAATAGCTTCAAGACCCATCAGACTTTAAAACCAATTAGCTTAGGTGTTTTTTAAGCCTACTTTGTTTTGTTAGGAAACCTGTGTGGATTCTGATATGATTCCTCAATTTCGGAATCTCACTCAAATTTTAATTAATTTTTGGAAAATATGTGAGAAATTCACTGAAGTCTTCAATTTTTGTAAATTTACTTTAATTTTTATTGCAGTATAGTTACTGTTTATATCAAATTTATTGATATTAGCGTTGGATCATTAGAATTCGAAAAGTCTAACTTTTCATTGTTTGTATTTTCAGATGTCTGAAAGATGATTTAATCTGATATTTGAAATCTGATCACACAAAATTTTTTTAAATTGTAATGTAACACAGCTGGTAAACTTCTAACATGTTTTAAATGAACCCTAAAAATATTTTCTGGGAAGAGAGGTGGGGACGGTCGAACGTTAGTCTAAATTTTATTATAAAATGTAGAATATCAAAATTTACAACCAAATTTTTTAATTTTAATCATTAAATTTAATATTCTTCAAGCCATTTCTTAATATTTTAAATTGACTGGAATAAAACAATGAAAATTGCTCTTTTCACACAATAAAAGAGAAACTAAATTTTTTTCTTAAATTCAGCAAATTTAATAATATTAAAAATTAAACACATACATAGACAGAAACATAATTACATAATGTATAAAAATCTATTCAAAACATTCACTATAAGTTTATTTCTGCTTTTTTTTTATACACTTTCCCAGATCGCAGCCATTTTAACGTCAGAAAAATGTTAACTATTCAGTTATATAGCTAAACAGAACAAAGAACTCATATAGAAACTGTATGGGACTAAAATAGTTATTTAAAATGGCTCCACAAATCATAAGAAATAAAAATAATGAAAAAAATAATAATTTTTCATCTTATATAAAAATTCATGTTCAAAAAGAAATTATCATAAGTTTTAAAGAAAATCGAAAATTACAACAAATACAAAATATAGAAATGTTGGCTCCATTACGGCTACAATAAAAATTGAATTGTGTCTTGTCGTTTTTTCTTAATAAAATTTTTTTTCGTGCTTTTTGTGAAAACGGACAAAGAATTTTGTATTGTGGGTGTAAATGAAAAGAGTAGAAAAGAAAAAAAAATTGTTTTTGATTCAAAAATTCATTGTCATTTAAAACTACAATTTTACATTTAAAATTTATTTGCTTCAGAATTTTCGATTTCGGATTCTGGATTCTTTTTTTTTTCCTAATACATTGAAATCAAATCATAAAAGTGTAACGTACCACAACTTTAAATACTCACAAAAAAAAAAAAACCTTTATTTCCTATGATATCATCAGAGGACATACAACAATTTGTGTGTGTATAGCAAATCTAAACTAAAAATATACGAAAAAAATTTAACAAAGGGTTCTAGAAAAATAGAAAAACACAAAAAAACTTTCCCTTTTCCAGTTCTAAAATTTTGCTTTAATTTTTGTTTCCTTCCCTTTCTTTCCTTTTATATTTTTCTTGCTCCAATAGAATTACCCACACTCTCCCCCTTACACCCAACTAACCGGTTCTTTTTTCTTGTGTTATTAACTTGCAGGACCCAGTTCCAAATATTACATAGAATAAAGGATAAAAAAAAAAAACTAAAAAGAGAATTTTAACAAAAAAATTTGTTTGAAAATTTTTTTTTTGTTTGAAAAACATTTGCTGTTTGTTTCTTTGTTGCCACAACACATTTTGCGAATTAAAAATAAAACACAGAGAGAGAGAGAAAGAAAAAAAAGCAAAAATGTTTCCTTTGACTCAACGGGAAAATAAAAATTTAGTTTTCCTTTTTCATTAAAAAGAAAAGAAAACAAAAACTGTGTAAAAAAAAACTAACAAAAAAAAAAAATAGTAAACATTAAAAAAAAGAAAAGAACAACAGTAAATAATACGAAAAAAAAAATAAACAAATTGTTAACGAAAGAAGAGTAAAACCTACACAAAGAAAAAATTAAATTTTCGCTCACAACAGTAAAAAGCAAGATTAGATAAAAAGCCAAATAAACAAAAAGGAAAAAACAAAAATACCAAAATTTTTCTATTTTATATTTTTGGACTTTGATATAGAGCGAGAGAGTTAAAAAAAAGAGAATAACAAATTTTAAATAAACAGTAATATTGAGTAAAAAGAAAAACAATAAAATTTTAAAAACAGAGACGCATTAATTTGGTTTCTTCTATCCTTCTTCTTCTATCATTGACCATAGTGTACTCGTTCTCTCTTCAAAAAATTATAAAATATGTACATGAATTTGAAGAATATGCTTCAAAAGAATTTTATAGAATAGTGTCGAGAAATAAGAAGAATTGATTTTCGAAAATTTTTTGACTGAAAGAAGAAAGTGAAAATTTTAACAATAGTTATATAAAGAGTGCGAGTGAGAATTGTAAGTATGAAAGCAATAGAAAAATTGGTCTGCAATTGCAGTGAATTATAGTTCTCTCCAAGATAGATAATTCATTATAATACATTATAACGCATTATAACGAAGCCGGTTAAAGATAGAAATGTGACAGCATAAAATTGACAGAAATATGTTACTCACAGGAGATTCTTGTCTTTACAGGAGAAAAATATACCAGACCTTTTAATTTTAATAAATTTTTCTAGATTTCTAAATTAAAGCTTTTTAGTGGCCTTTAAAGCCAAGTTTGTTGGCGGATATCGTAATATTTTTCAATTCATAACGATGTTTTCGATATTCTAGAAACAATATTTTTACATTTCAAATTAATTTCAAAAATTTTTTGTTATTTTGCAACTTAATATTCAGCTATGACCGTATATGAACCCTGACTCCATATTCATTGAATTCATTGATGTGTAAGAAATTTATAATAAATCATAAATTAAATTATATTAGAATATTTGATAAGAAATCAAAAAATATGATTCAGAATCATAAAATAATTTAATTTTATGGATAAAATTATTTAAGTTATTTAAATAATTTGAAATAATTGTGAAGCCGGAATTGCCATTATTAACATTTTACATTCTTACTTTATTACTCTACGAAGATTTTTCGAAGGAAAACTTCCACCTCAATTTTCTTTTTCCTGAATCTTAGATATTTTTAAAGCTCACAGCATATGCAAACTTGTTATTCAAATTCAAATAACAAAAAAATATTTCTAGAAAAATTTTTACTACAGTAAGTTTAGTATTTGTTTTATTACTCTATACTCTACTACCATATTAAAATCTGACCTCTACACTCGTCCAATTAAGAAATAGTCAGCAAGTTATGTATATATTTCACTAAAATATTTTTATTATGCTTTAATAGAATAAATTATCTGTTATTAATTATTAATAAAATTCCTTTTACGTTATATACATTATGACATTAATTATTATGTACGCCAAGTAAAACAAGTAAACACTACATAAGGTACATCCAAATACGTATAACTCTGTGCCTTAATTATTATACTCATAAATCATTAACACTTAATAAAACTATTCTGTTAACATGATAAATAGCTAACTATATATGAGTATGTAGTATAAATGTGCGGAAATTTGTGTTAATTGAACCGGAAATAACAGCAGATATTTATCTTTTAATTAAATATTTAAATTTTCTTTAGAATTTCAATTCTTTTGTTAAATTACATTTGTACAAAATTTAATTATTAAAATATGTAAGCACATACGTCATTATGCATATACATTCATATATTTATAACAATTTTTCTCAAGAAAAATACTTCGCAGATGTTAAAAAATTTTATTGAATAACTAAAAGAGAATATTTTAATATTATTGCTACCAGGTTGCCTAAGCACATGCACGTGTTTAAAATGCATGAGAAATGAGAAAATTTCATTCAAAATGATAATTCAAATTGAAATAAGGTAAATACAAACATAATGCACAAAATATATTCAAATTAAAGTTTCGGCAACATAGATTTAAGGTTGTGGGAAATTACCCACACCGTCATGGGTAATTACGCGCACTGCTCAGGGTAATTACGCGCAGATAATTAGGCAAATCCAGGGTGTAATAAATTAATGTTGGTAGTTGTAATGCACATTTTTCATGGTAGCAAAAATGAGCTACGGGCAAGTTTTTATGATAATTCTGCGCATTAGTACAAATTTTTAAAACGTAAAAATTTATTTTTATTGAATTTTAAGGAAACGTAATATTGTTAACTTTCCGTACTAACTTGAAAGATTTTGCGGTGAATTTAAGAACGCAGAATGAGAACTAAAAAGTAAAAAAAAATTCAGAGAATGCCTACTGAATTTACGTAAACTGAAGAGAATACATCTTTTTCCTATTTAAATTTAATCAAAATTTTATATTCTAATTACCATCTGGTTATAATCGGCTTGTAACACAGTGAGTCTTAGTACTTAAGCGCATATAAATAAATGTATAATAATAATAATAAGAAATGAGAACAAACTTAAAACGATATTGAACTGGTAACAAAGTAAACCACGTAAAAATATTAAAGGTTCTCCCATAAAAATATTCCGATGTATTGAATGTTGCTAATAATTTAATCTTGATCTTCAGTAACCCTTATTGTCTTTCATTTAAATTTTCTTCTCTATTAAAATCGCAAAACATTTCTTAAAAATTCAAGAGTCAAAATAATTTATATTTACGAATATTTTATAGAAAATAAAAAAATTTAAATTTTAATTGAAAATAAGTTAAAAAAAATATTGAAAAAGTTATAAAAAAAAAATTAATAATTTCATATTTTATTTCTTTTCAGATCAGATGAAGAACTTTGCAACTTTTCCTCCACCTAAAAAATCAAAAATAAAACCAAAGTGAAAAAAAAAATTTTAAATCGAAAAGTTTTTATTTTTATTTTTTGCTCATTTTCATAACTTTCACCTCTGCCATTAAATACCATTTGGTAAATTCTTTTTTTTTTTTTTTTCAAAATAAAACACCAACTTTACCAAATAATCAGAAAAAGAGAGGAAGCAAGAAAAAAAAGGCGAAATTTCATAGCTATTTTCAAGAAAATTGTTTTTCAAAATTTTAAATAAAAAAAAAAAACCCTAAAATCTAATTCGGATAGCTCTACAAAAAAAACAAAACAAAAGGATATGAAACATAAAAATAAATTTAATAACAGTAATAATAATAATAATAAAAAAAAAAAAAAATACGAAAAAATTTATAAATTTTAAATGAGTTTCTTGCATGCTTATTGTAATAATAACGACGACGTTTCGGTTTTAACAAAATGCAGAATATTGCATCGGTAGCTAAATTGGCAATTCAAATTTTAAGTGTATTGCTATTAGCAACAATAATGGGTAATAAAAATCGTAATAATAATAATAGTAATAATAATAATAGAAATCAATATAATAATAATTATAGTAACGGTAATAGTAATAATAATAATAATTATAACAGTTATAATATATATATAATAGCTATGGCATTACCAATTACAACAAATGATGATGATATCAGTTATAAAGATAATGCTGATATATTAATATTTTCAGATAGTAGTAGTAGTAGTATTAATTTAAGTGATGGTAGTTTTGGTATTGAAAATAGTGAAATAAATATTGAAAATGGTGATATTATTAATGATAATGGCGGTATTAATGATCATGATAATGATGGAATTTCAAATAGTAATTTAAATATTGATCAAAATAATAATAAGAATAATAATAATAATAATAATAATGATAATAGTAGAAAGAAAAAGAAAAAAGATAATAAAATTAGTGATAAAGATGATTTTATAATAGAAATAACAACAATTGGTTATAATTTAAATGATAATATCGAAAATTATAGTACAATAGATTCAAATAAAAATTTACATAAAAATAATAATAATAATAATGATGATAATGATGATGATGAAGATGATGATATTGGTATAGTTAATGATGATGATACAATTGATAATGATGGTAAGTTTTTTTTTTTTATTTATAATATTAAAATATTTATTTAAACATTTTATAAAATTAATTAATTTAACCCTTTAATTCGTGGTGATTGTTACGACAAACATATAAAATTAACGATAAATTAGTTCATTATCGACCCCTGAATCAAAAAAATTTGATTACTTTAAGAAAATTGATCACAAATAATAATTATTCTAACCCCTTTCATTCGGTGGTGTTCATTCGAGCAGAACACCGAAAGAAACGATAAATTACTAAACTATTAACGGCTGAATTAAAGAACTTTGTTATTTCAGAAGAACACATTATATTAACTCATTTCGGAAAGGGTTAATAATATTATTAATTGAATTTTATGTATCGAAATGTTGCAAGAAATGTTAAAGTTGTAATAACTTTCTAATATAATAATATTTTTGATTTGAATTTTATTATTGATTATTAGAGTTGTTATTCTTTTTTTTCTTGAATTGATTATTTTAGTATCATGATCAATTATCTACGTCATAAAACAATTTCGACTTAAAATTCCCCGTTATATAATTTCTCTAACAATATGTTCTTTGTGACGCAGTATTCTATATTTCTTCATAATTCACTCCTTTTTTCTAGAAGGAAATCTTCTTATAAAATATATACATTAATTTCTCTGCGGAACGGAATTTCCTTATTTTAAATAATTTTTGCATTCTGCTGCCTATTTGATTTATCAAAATATTTTTATTGTACCTTCAGCTCCATATTGTAAATTTTTCTCCTATGAATATCTTCGACATATTTCCCCGAATACTTTCAATAATTTTTAATCTACTTGTTTTTTAATTTTTAATCTCACGAGGGTCCACTTGAAAAGGATGGGCAGGGTGGCGGACGAGGTCCGCCGTTTATGCCTGGAGGAGGACGAAACCATGGAGCACTTGCTATGTGAGTGCGAGGCGGTTGCTTGCCTGCAGCTGAGGTGCTTCGGGGGGGGGGGGGGGGGGGCTTTGTGACCCCGGGAGGGGATCTCGCAGCTTGATGTGCCTGCCATATTGCGGTTTGTCAGGGGCCTAGGAATAGAGTTAATGTAGGGGGATAGGAATCACAAAAGATCCTATGGGTCGACGTGAGTGGGACCTAGGGGCCTCGGTCCCCGTGGACGAAAACAAAACAATCTACTTGTTTTTTTGGTTAGAAGTTCTAATTTTGAATTCATATTTTATATAGAGAGTAGTATTATAAATATAGAGAGTAGTAAGCCTCCATGAGCGTTTCAACAATATTAATTCAAAAAAAATTCGTAAACCTCAAAAACTTGGTTTGTACTTTTTCTGTGACCGAAAATTATGTTTGTTCTTCTATTCCAATAGTATTCTTCCTCTAAATGTAAAGACAAAAGCAATTTTAAAAGTATTCTATTTATTTTTTTCTCAAGTATTTTACTTGTTGAATTTCAATTACATATGGCACAATTGTATAAATTTTAATTTTATATTTTAAAAAATAAACAAAGTTTTATGCCTCAACAAAATAATATGTGCGGTAAGTTATAACAATAAAGTGTTATACATAAGTCTTAAGTGTTATACATACATATATTACATTTGTTTCTAAAAACTTTTATGAAAATGTTTTCTCTTTTAAAATATTTATGTAAAAATTTATGTGAAAATTTTTTGGTAATTGCAATTAATTTTCCAACTATTTTAGTTTCTCTTTTTATGTTTTTAATGTAAGACTTAAAAAAATTGGGAACGTGTTCATTAAAATAATAATATAAAAATATTTTTATTCCAAAAAATTTTCTATGTGCATAGCTATATATTATCTACTCTCATCCTCGAAATATACAAATATTATATAGCGCATTTATTATACTGTAAATTTGCTTTGGCTTCATGATTTGAATTTTAAATTAAGGATGATAATCACGTATCTAGGTATTTTTACTGTTGCATCTATAATGGTTATATTTTTAGATGTGGTATATTATGCATTTTGGATCCTTTTATATATATAAAAAATTTTAAATGGAAAATGGAAATAAATTACAAGTTATGAGAAAATATTGAAAGAACACTGATAATGACAGACATAAAAATTGAAATGTCTTTGAAAAAAATTTTGAATTTTCAACTTTAGTGTTGATTTTCCTTTTATTACAGAATTTCTTTTTTATATTGCATGCATCCATCTCTTGATTTATCCATAATTTTAAAAATTTATGCTAAACAAGTGTCTAAAATTAATTTTTTATTTTTAGTTTTGAAATTTTTTGAATTAAAATAGAAAATATTATTTTTCTATTCCAAAAGAGTAAAAATTTTAAATTTTCCGAAAATTTTCTAAATAATATTCAACCTTGCACGTACTATACAAGAGAAATGAGAAGAAAAATTCAAAAGAAAATTTGATTTTTTCTCATATTATAAATTTAGCGATTTTATGATAATCGCGGAATCAAAAACTATTTTAAATTCATAATGATTTTGTAAATTGTCTTCTGATTGCTTTTGTTAATGAATTTTTTATTGTAATAGCTGTATGTGTAGGTGTAGGTGAATCAAAAGTGGAAAAATATTGTTTTTGAAATTGAAGACTTTGAAAATTTCAATAATTATCTACATTATTCTAATACATATGGATAAGGAATGTTACGACGTAATTCTAGTGAACAAGGTTTTCATGAAAATATGATAAATATTAAAATTATGCCGAACAAGGCAAGTGTAAAATTGTTATGGTTTTGAGGATATACGAATAGGGATCTCAATTAGGTTAATTCAGGGAACAAAATACAAGAGAACGTACACGCCAAATAAAATTATAGAATGTTGTTTGGAACGATAGCGATTTGTTTAAAAGGAATTCAAAAGGAGTTCAGTAAAAATTTGAAATAAGGACCTTAAAGGCAATCAGGAATATCAATCAGGCATATCAGTCAGCATTTATTAATAATTCCAATCAATTTCAGGTTGTGGTCAGTATTTTAGTCAATTTCATACTATTTTCTGCGAAATACTCTTTAATAATTTTTTGAATTTGCCAATGTTTGAAACCAAACTAATCCTAAATCGAAAGCACATACAAAATTTTTGTTTCTTCAATGAAAATCCTAAATTACTGTCTTCCTTTACTGTTTAAATCAATGTCCTTTCTATCAAGTTTAAATAAATAAATTGAAGTAATTCACTTAGTATTAAACACAACATTGCCAAATAATTTTTTCTTCTACATGCCCACTTCAAAATTAAATGAAGAAGCAACTATTTACATAAAGTAATTATTAAAATAAAGACACAGAGCAAAGAAAACTAAAAGAGTCTTTAATGGAAATTTGTTCACATAAATTTTCTTATTTTCTAATTCCCTTTTAATTTCACTTACAAATAAAATAAAACCACCAAATAGTTTAATTAAAATGAACAATATTTTAAATTAGAATGAAATTATAAAAAAAAAACAAGACACCTACATCTTGAAATAAAGGGTATTTGAAGTAATTGAAGAATATTTCACGTGCCAAGGAAGATTGGTTTGTGTATAATTAATAATGAATTTTGTTTTTCTCTATTTCTGTGAGAGAACAGAGCTGTTTTTTTATATTAAAGTCCCACAGAGCCCATGTGCTTTAGTTTAATATTTTTTTAAATTTTCACAAGGTGTTATTGCTTGTGTGTGTATATAGAGATAATTGAATCTCACCACTTCCAGGAATAAATTTTAACATTTTTTGTCGGTTCTGTCAACTTTTTTTTTCGGCAATAAAAACTATTCCGAGGCAATAGTATAGTTAATCAAAAAACACTGTGTGTACATCGAATTCTTGGAGTTTCTTTGAAAACGTTCTTAATTTTAATAGTAAAATTCGTCGGAAACGACAATTTTATTTGTCAGATGAGTTCCTTGTTCTCTGTTTTCAGTATTCAAAGTAGACAAATTTTCATTTAATTTATTATCTGTACCTCATGACTCTACCACCGATTAAAATTGCCAAGTTTTGAAAACAATAAATTGTTTTGCAAATTTTTATTTATCCCAAATACTACTGTAGTTGCTCATTATGCTTCCTACCGTCAATAGAACAAAATTGATCATTGAATTGGGATGGTAGATATGGTAAAGAAATTGTATGATTCTTTAATTATTTAAAAATTTTCTACTTTATTAAATTCCAACTCTGTGTTTCCGTTTAATTTTCATTTACACAATTAAAAAATTCTAATTAAATTTTTGTTATTCCCTTTGCCCTATTCTCTAATACTTTTGACGGCTCTATAGATATTTATTTTATAGTTTGTTTGTTTTTGCTTTTTAATATAAAATCACCACTCTTTAACCTTGAAAAAATCAGAAAATTTAAACAATGTTAGAAATTATTAAATTTTTAATGGAAACAATAACGGAAGTTAAGCAAATTGTTATTGTATTTTGAAAATTACCTTATTATTTTCTTGTTTATTTTTTGTAACCAATATTGTATAACCATTACGGAAATTAACTTAATTTAATATTATTAAGCAATTATAAAAAGGATATTAGATGTTAAAAGAAAGAAAAATTATTGGAAAATTTAAGAAAAATTTAAAATATAAGATAATGAATAAGGTCGAGTCAATATTATTATTTTTAGTGAATTTTATTAGATAATTTGGAGGCTATTTTAAATAAACTCTTATAACTTCGGAGCCATGCAATATAGAATAATTAGCGGGTGTTTGTTTTACAGGCTATTGATTGCTATTTCTTGGTAAAATTAGTTGTAAAACAAGTCCCCGGTGATTACCCTATTTTGCATGGTTCCGAAGTTATAAACATTTATTTATATGCAGGAAAAATCTGGTACCATTTTTTTTCAATAGGCTGTAACTCGGAAACGAGTATATCTGCAACCCCTCACACGTCAATTCAATTTTTTACAATATAAGTTATAAGACTTTGGTAATTTTTGTTTATATAAGAACAAAATATAGTAAATCATATATTCTTAGGTGATCCTTAAAGACCCAAAAACATATGGG